CCGGGCTATTTCCAGCTCTCTAACTCCCTCTGCATGACAGCAGCCCGAATAACAAGGACATTTGCTACTGGCACATGGAAAAGGAGCATACATTGAATTAAAAAAAAAAAAAAAAAAAAAAGGTTTTCTAAAGTGGTAAATACAGAAAGAATTATTAGGCACTGAATTTAACTGAGATGTCACATAAATAAATGTTGCAGAAGCAGGTCCACTACTCAGATGAAAAAAGGGTTATGCTGTTTTACCACAGTGAAAACAGCATTATGACTCCTCCTATTCTGCCTTTACAGGCCAAGATTTCAAAAGTTATGTAACTTTCTCTTGTTTTAATTTTCAGTTACTTCTTGGCAGATCTAAGAGGTTTTTTTTTTTTAAACCAGTGTGCATTTTATTTACCTGTCTGTAAGCCTTTCTTCAGTATTACCTCTCTTTCTTCTCTGAAACAAGATGCATCCTTTGGAATTCCAACAGAGCAATAGGGAAAAAAAAAAAATGTTCAGCAGGATGCTACACATTAGCTGTTATAATCCAAACATTTGTCAGGCTCAATGCAGCTCAGATAGTGAATTTATGAGTAAGCAAGTTTAATGATATGAAAAGACTATATTAAAAGAGCAGAATTTATTTAATTAGAAGACTTTTTGGCAAATTCTTGTCGTCCACCTCTTTTTTTTTTTTTTTTTTTTTTTTTTTTTTTTTTTTGTGCCTTTAAAAAGTCCATCTGGATACTTGTCAATACCATAAATACATATTACAATGCACAGCTATGCAGTGGAGTTCCTTGACAAACATCCTTTACAATTCTGCCACCTACCTACTTCCTAGTGTGCCTGTGTCACAGAAGGGGGAGCTGAGAAAACCTTTGGAGGAGAACTGGCTATTAATTCTCATGTATCAACACTGGTCACCAGGAAAAGGCTCTTCAGCCAGAGGGTGGTCTGTCACTGGACCAAGCTGCCAGGGAAATGGTCATGGCACCAAATCTGTCTGAGTTCAAGCAGCATCTGGATGACACTTTTGGTCATTTGGTTTAGCTTTAGGTAGTCCTGCAAGGAGCAGGGTTTTAGAATCTTTGGTTCTTATGGCTCACTTCCATCCTGAGATATTCTAAGGTTCTATGATAAATATACTTACAAGAAGCATATACTACATATTTTTTATCTATTTGAGAAAAATTAATGTATGAAAATTAGAACCACAGGTGAAAACATGGACCATTAAAAAAGGCCCCCTAGATCTCATCCAAAAGCAAAACACAGCAAACTGCTGGAACACTTCAGAGCCCTAAAGAGGTAGGACCAGAATGGGTTTTATGATCCATCTATTACCTTCACTGCTCTTGGGCAGGAAAAAGTAAATCTGTTCCCTAAGGTATTTGTTTATCTTGTTCTTAAAAATGGATGGCCATTAGAGATGGTCAACAACCTCCTAGCCTAGATGTCAGTGTTTAGCTCACACTATCTTTGGAAAGCTTGATTTTTAGCCCACTATTATATGTCCTATACATAAGTGCAAACAGAACTTTATTCCCTTCACCTTTACAGCAGTGTCCCATGTTTCTTAAGATTTATAACCTAGAGAAAACAGAGTGGAGGCGTAAATCTGGTTCCTTTCTTTTTTGTCTCAAGTGTCTTAGTCAAGTGTTCTTTACCTCTGTTTTTCCTCCACATATTCTCCAAGTAGTCTACAGCTTCCTTGAAGTGCAATGCCAAACTTGGACACATCTTGGATTTCATCTCATAATTGCCAAGGAAAGTCCCCTATGCAACCACTCTATACATTCCAGTATTATGTTTTGAAGCTGCCTCCTCTTCACGCTAAGAAGGGCACACTTGACTTGCCAGGGAGATCTAGAGTTTTGCTTATAATATACAACATGAAATGGATTCACTTCATGTTTATGTTTTATGGATTCATTTCATGTTCATTTCAAGTTTATGTTTTGATATTCCATTCAATTTCAACCATAATTTGTGGTAAACACACAATGAAAAAGCCAGTATTCCTGACTCCCATGTGCATATTCAGGCCTCAAAATTGAACAGTTGACACAATCATGACCCCAAAAAAAAGCACTGGTGCAGCTAAAGTCAGAGCAGGGAAGCCCAAAATAAGGGCTGGGAGGTCCAAACTAAAGCAAGAAACAACAGCTAAATTAAAAATTGCTAAGGAAAATAAAGAGTAGGCAGTTCTTCAGTTGTATAAATAAGAAGGAATTGAGAGAAAAGAAATGATGCCACTATGTGAAGTTCAGATAACAATAACACAGATAGTGGCTATAAAACTAATGACCAGGCATTTGGAATAAGATTAATTTGACCTGTTTCAGCTGTTCCCTGAGAGTAACACTTTCAGAAATGTTTGCTTCTCCCTTCTCCTCTCATCTAAGACAGACTGTGGCAGCCACATGGGAGCCCATGGAGACTTTCAGGTAAGCACCACAGCCACAACCAAAGCAATTTGCAGAAGCTTCAACAGGCCCCAGTAGGTGACACAGTAGAGGCACTTCAGTACAGGCAAGCAGAGAGAAACAGAATGTGCTTCATCAAAAATAAGAGTGCTTGTTTTATTATCCTCATTTCCTTGGCTTTTTCCCCTGCTATAAAATCATCATGTGTTTGTACAATATTCTTATTCTGGGAATGTATTTCAGCCCACATAAACATCTGTACTTAGTTATGTCAGCCAGTATCCAAATCCCAGCAAGAGCCTGCCCTGATTATTTAGCTCTGAGTGTTTTTGCCAGCTTCTATTCCCAGAACACACTGGATTTATAGCTATGTCCAACCTCCAGCTTTACTATTTAGAAGACTGTAACACACATGCTCAAACTGAACATCTTTTCTACTAGGACAAAGTCTTTCCAGCAGGCTCAAGTAACAAGCCATTAAATTGTGCTAGCATACATTAGCAACAGGAAAGCGAACTATTGTTGGATGCAATTTGTTGGTCTGTATTTTTAATCACACTGTTTGACCTACATCTTTTGTTTGCTTTCCTTGATATCTAACCATAAAATACAACCCTTGATTCAAATACTAATAAAACCTGTTGCTGCAATTTTGCATAACTTGGCGCAAAAGAACCCAGATCTGAAATAAATAACTGATAAGTCTTTTTTTTGGAATGACTGTGTGTTTTTGTCTGCTGCCTTGCAAAGCTAGATCCAAACCATTAATAAAAAAAAGGATATATACAGTTTCATCTGAGAAGAAAACAAAACATGCAGGATATAAATCAAAACAGGGATTTGCAAAAGAATAGAGTAAGCACTTACTAAGCCAAAAACATATTGTTCTTGTGAAGAAGCCTGCTCTGACCACTGTGCCTTCTCCAAATGTATGTTTATGGAGTTCTAGGCCAGAACATTTTTGAAGCATAAAGACATGAAGCATTAGATCCCAGCAAAATTCACTGTGATCTGCCTAATTCTCATGGAACTGAACTTCACAACAGTTGTGCACAAGCTCACCTTCCTAATGCAGCTTCTAGACAATTATTCTCTGACAGATATTTCTTTGAAGATTTATTTTACGTGACTGATAACTGTCTCGAACTGTGAATATGCTAATACACAACCTGACCTCCTACCCTACTCCTCCCTCCCAAGATACAATCTGAAAATAAACTTTATGCTTTTCTTCAAGCAATAAAACTGGTTTGGGATACAGTTTCTTTGTATCTGGGTTGGATCTCTCAGCCACTCACCCGATAGCAGGGCAAACACAAATTTTTTTCTGGGGCTGCACAGCCCCTGTCAGTACACACATTTTGAAGACTGACTATTCAATGCTGCCATCATTTAAAGACTGCCCCATTCAGTATCTGATTGACAGACCCAAAGTTGCAGCTCTCCACCACAGCTTCTGCCCAAGTGGGGAACCAGGGCCCTGCTTCTCCAGCTTCAAAATAACACCCTCTCCCCAGGATTCTGTAGTCAACAAAAACATGAGGTCAAGGTAGAGAGGGAGCAAGAGAGATTTATGTACCCTATCCCTACCGGTATCAGTGACTCCAGCATCCAGAAGTGCATGAAACTATCTCAGAAAAGCTATCTGCACAACGAAAAATACCATGCTTCGAATTTTGTCTAAGCAGCTTTAAACATACAGTGTGCTTTTCTAAGCTAGAAATAATTTATAAATTAGAAGATTGGAAACAGGTACACAGCTGAAGGAATCCTCTATGACAGTCTCCTGCTCAGTCACTGAATACTGTTCTAGAAGCAGGTTCTGTTAAAGAGAAGACAAGCACTCAAGCGCTTGGTAGTGGCCCCTCCCAAGCACATATCAAGAACACTCCCATACTCTCATGGCTAAACCAGGTCGTGGGTTGTGCTTCTAGACCCCAGCTGTCCCTAACACTGTCAATAGAGTTTCTAGAGTAGTAATAATAATAATGAAAACATATATAAATACTTCTTCTGCCTCATTCACAGTGATCTGAAACTTCAGTTATTAGAGAAAGGAACACCTTTGTTTTTAGTTGTACAGAAGACTAGCACAAGTCATTCTGGAAAAACAAGCTCTAAATATCTCCTTGGTAGCCAGGGAAATAGGACATGAAAGATCACATACTATTTTAAGTGTAAAAGAAGTATAAAATTTTATTTGAGAAGTTAACAAATAGTAACATTTCATTAGTCCATTAAAACACTTTATTACAAGGAAGTGTAGTTGAGTTATAGCTACACTACATGAAAATTAATTCTAAGGTGAACAAACTGACCTGCTGGAGAGTAGACAGTTTAGAATGTACATGTCTACCGTATCCAGTTTATTTTTAAGAGGTATTTTGTACAACTAAAAATTTATTACATGTCAGACAACTTCAAAAACTTCAAACATAACAAACTTCAGAACTCTTCTTCTTAGATGACATCATCTTTTTTCAGAGATAGCTGAAGTTGCTGCACAGCTTTTAGCAGTTGAAGAGAACTTCTGCTCTTCTGCCCAGGACAAGGTTTAGACATACTTTCCTTTACAGTGACTGCAATCTCATTTGCTTCCTTTTGTTCATCACACTTTAGTTTGACATGAGTTGCCCCTTGCTTCAATTTCTGAGTTTTTCTCTTTAATTTCTTCACCTAGGAAAAGAAAAATTACTAATTAGCATGTTACATATCCAAAGACCCACAGCTGTAGAGATGACTGGACTTCTACTGAACTCCAAACTACAGATGACTAAGAGACATTTAAAAAAAAAGAAAAGTTTAAACTTAATAACCTTGCACACTTGTCTCACTGTAACAGAAAACTGACCTTGCCCATAAAGAAACCACCACAGAAAATTGACCTCACCCACACTCAACTGGTTGTTGAATCCCATCACTCTTAATATAAAAATGCTTTCTCGAGACAGCTGGAACATCATCTCTTAATAATCTTATTTACAACAGTTTATTTCCATTTCAGATTGTACTACTCTAATTAAAAAAAAAAGCAATAAACTTCTAAAAAAACAATAAACTTTAAAAATGTATAGTGTTAATTATCAATTACTGGATCTAAGAAGCTTATTTTGAAGCCTCCTTAACAAAAGTGGAAAACAGAATAAATAGGGTTAATTGCTAAAGAATGTTTTTTTAAAATGTCAGATAATGAGTCTTGACTTGCACTTGGCATGAAAAGGTCACTTCCCAAAGATAAAATTAGGCTGGAAAGATTCCAAATGTCAATTTAGGCTTTAAGTCCATTTCTAAAAATAATTAACTTTAATTGCTTTCTAGAACATATTATTAACTGTGAAACACAGAGATTAGCATGGCACTTTTAGTATGGCAGGTTCTAAAAAAAGAAATAAGTGTTAGAAATATTAAGACTGGCCTGTATAAAATACAAATGGAAATGTCTGTGTGCAAAAGCACCAGAAAAAAAAAAAAAAAAACCAGGCCAGGGAGTTAGAGGAATGGCCTGTATTGATACATGCATGGACAGTAATCATACAGACACTACTATTTACAGCAAGACCCTAAGGGGTGTGCTCTGACCAGGCTGTACCAGAGCATGGAGTACTTGCCAGAAGATCTGCACACTGGTAAGAGGCAGAGATGACAACAAGGTTGCACCACAGTGTATGTGCTACTCTTCATCATCCCAAAACAAAGGCAAACTGTGGCCATAAAGATATACAAAAGAATGAAACCAAGGTGCAGTTGTTACCCAGTGACTTAGGTTCCTGAGGACGAAAACAGCAAGATTTTGAGGCAAAGAGAACACCATAATTGTTGGGTCTTCAAAAACATAAGAGTTTTATCAAAAAGAAAAAATAGCTGACATTGCCAAGAGAGGCAGTGAGAACTCAGCAGTCAATGCCCTTTGTCCATATTGCTAATATGCAAGTCTGACATGTCTGCTATGACATAAAGCACCTCTATGCTTGCAATTACATGGACAATAAAAAGTTTAAGCCAGTAAAATCCACCAAAAATGAATATGAATAAAACTGATTTAAATTAACTAGATCCTCCTCTTTTCATAAGGTCTCACACTGAATTTTGTTTTGTTTCCTGTATAAGCAAAGTTCTCAGGTGAGTATTTATCTTGAAACATAAGATGAAAAAACAGAAACAATCAGACCAAACTATAGATTGAATGTTTAATCATATGCCCAAACCAAATTGCTACAAAAGAGTTAGGCTGTTCAACTACAGAAGAGGGATTTTATATGGGCATGTATGAAAAGTTGTTATCTATGGCTCTAAACTAAATACTGACAGAATGAGGGCAGTTTAAAGGTTAAAGAAAACTGAAAGGCTTGCCCAGCTATGATTTTGGAGAAGCTCTGGTCAACAGACTAGTTAACAAAAAAAGCTTCAAAGTTTTAGTAATATAAAAGACATTTAATCCTGTCTGTACAGAAATTACAGCTTCTATTTTCTCATTCCCCTGAGGGACAGGATATAAAGAAATGAAATTTCAACAGTTTGTCTTAACATGGTGAGCAGAAGTGACAGACAGTGCAACCCAGCTCTGTACTGCAGAACTGCCACAGGGCAGGAAGCTTTCCCACCAGCATACATTCATAACTGCCAGTTGTAAGTACTAGCACTTTTTCTTGATCAAATGAAGAAATTGGAGGTACAAAAATATGAACCAGCAGTCTAATTATAATCACTCATACTGAAACATCCTGGCTTGAAACATTGCAGTGATATTCTAGCTGATGACAACAGGAGGCAGAGTTGGGGCAGCCTTTCAACAAAAATGTTAGTAGCTAGAGAGTTTACATTTCATTCTTACAGTAGCCTGATGCTTTTTCAGCTTGGATATTTGTTTTCCTTTCATCTCCATTTGTTTTACGAGGCAATCCAGCTCCTGTTCTAGGTCTTCATGAGCTTGGGAGTCTTGAGTCTCCTGTATCTGCTCCAGAAGTTCTTGATGCTCACTATTAAAGAATGGCAATCTAAGTATTCATGATACAGTCTTTAGGATTTCTTCCTGCAGGAGTTCCTAGTCATTTTGTGCAGAGTACAGAAATTTAGCATTATTTCCACTCTGACACAATACACATTAATCTGGAATATATTAACATGAGAAAGGGAAAAGGTTTTCCTGTGAGTCTGATTTTCTCATTACAAATTTTTAGCTGATGTCCATCTCCTTCTTCCCACAGGCATAACAACTACATATGTAACAGTGTGAAAAATGACATTTTTGAAAGTGAACAGCAGCTATGCAGTACATTTTCACTTCCTGCCAATTTAGCACAGACTTTGAAGGCTTAGTGTAATACATGGAAGCATTTTTTAAATTAGTACATTCAAGTTACAATTTTTCTCACAAATTACTCGAATTTAAATATTCTACTCAAAAAGATCTACAGCAAAGTGGGCTGTTTAATTAAACTAACCAGATTAAGTAAAAGAAATAGTGTAGATTTTGATACCCAGATACCTGAATAAGTTGAAGCCAGAGATCCCCTCTTAGATAAGTAATCCCTTTAAAAAGGTCAGAGCTTCTTTTCTGACTTCTGACTAATGGCTTCTCCTTGACAGTTTCATTGAAGCAACTGGTTGTTGCTATATTAAAAAAAAAAACTGTCCTTGAACTGCCACGAGTAAGCTAGACATTGCTTTTTGAACATTAGATTGCTTGCCAGTTTAAATTTTACCACATCAAGGATTTCAAATCAGCGTCAACATCCTAACTGGTTTAATCAGTACATCCTCCTCTGTTCAAATCACAGCTCATCATGTTGACATGTCTGCTACGACCAGCTACAGAGCTTTGGCCCACAGTCCCACAAGCCTGCATTAATAGGAAGATGCCTAAGAACACAACAGGCTGTAATCCACATTTACTCGCATGGCTAGAAAGATACATACACTCCCATCTGAAGTGTTAGCTTCTTCCACACCCTGCCCATTTTCTGGCAGGAGACCATCCCTCTTTCACAACCCCCTTACAGGACCAGCAAGTTCTCCTGCTATCAACAAGTAAAGGGTACGAGCACCAGACTGACTCAGCACAAAGACCCAGCAGGTACACGGGTAAGGAAAGAACACGGAGTGAGTACAAAGGAACAGGAGAGATGTTGTGACAGGACTGTTCATGCCAGAGCTGTACTAACCCATTCCACCAACCAGATTAACTGTATCCTGCAGGTCTACTCAATATCAGCACCAGCTTTGCAGCCTTCTCCAGGAGAAAAATTTTGATTTACTCTGTATATCTCAGAATATGTTTAAAATGTCTAAGAAGCACAGGTCTGAAAGGCTTATCATTTGCTGTAGCTGCTACTTCGGTAGCAGCTTGTTTAAATACAGGATGTGGAGGCAGAAAAACAAGACCAGTGAAACACCAGGACAGAAAAAAATTTTTGAATGAGAAAAATCCTACCAGTCAAGCCTGCTCGGTTCATTCTGTCAACAAGCAGTCCTATTGCAAAAACAGGCTGGGCTTGACTACAGCACCTCGCCACTTCTCAGGCCTACTGCTGAAGTCACGTTTACACAACACCAAGGATGGGTACTCACGAGCTCATTTGGCCCAGCTTGTCTTGAAAGGCCAACAGAAGGTCTGAAAAGCTCCTGGTGGCAGTGGGTGATGTGGAACAAGAGGATACAGAGTTTGAAAGTGCACTGTGCCCTGAAATCCCAGCTGTAGCTCCTCTTTGTGCTCGTGATGAGACACAGGGATTGCGATGCTTCATAATGTGCAGCACACTCTGTACGTTTGCGCTGACAGAGTGGCTGGAGCTGACAGACTTAAAGAAGAAAGATCAGTGGCTTACAGAAGTAATTAACTTCTACACAGCCTTATTCAAACTGTAGATGTCACTTTAGTGACAACAGTGGTTTTCACCTACCTTCCCAGCCACAAAAGGTAGTTCACCAGCCTTTACATGTAATTGTGAAAGCTGCATTTTCTTCATTGTAGGATTTCTCTGCCATAAGAAAATATAAGAAAAAATTCCAATCTGCTGACTCAAGAGTACAATCTTAAACCTTTTTTTTAGTAAGTAAAATTCAAGTAAATACACAGTGAAATGCATCACCTCAGTTTTCTTCTGGTTAAAAAAAAATTCCCTCCTGTATGTGTAACAAATAAGACTTTCCAATAGCTGACACAAGTAAATTTTATTCCATATGCATGTAGGAGATTGTTTAACAATTAGGCTAACATTAAAGGAATTGAACCTATTTACTTAAGTTTTCAAACCCACAGTTGCAAAATTTTAACTGATCTGTAACATGTGTTGCAAAATAAATTCTCTTGATTTCAGGAATGCCCCCAGAACACACCACCTTAAGATGCTGAGCCAAAACTCCTTTGGAAACAATTTTTGCCAGGTAAACTGAAAGGAAGCTAAGACAGGACATGGGGGACGGCAGCAAGATTTTAACAGAGGTAACTGTCAAGCTGATAAGGGAAGGTTTTCCTGTGATATCCTACCAGCCACAGTACCATTATAATTAATGAAGGAAAGCAAAAAGAGGCTAAAAAGAGTTATTCAGCACTGTTTGTCACTTTAGAAGTAAAGTGCAGCAGATGAATCAAGTCCCTCTTACATCACCGTTTTTCACAAATTCCAGTCTGTGCGAGTCAGATGCTATCAGCAATAATATGCTAATAAAATTTCCACATTACCTTCCTAAGTTTTTTGTTCTTCCCATTTGCCTTTTCAGGTTCATGTTGAGATGTTACTGAAGACATCAAAACTCTGTTGATATCAAATCCTGTTTGAAGCTGTGGCGATAAGCAAAAAAGAAAACAGCCATTTTATGTTATATTAGAAATATGAAATAGCAAGGTTAAATTAATTCTCTTTCATGCATGGATAAGAACCAATTAAGGGCACTATCAATTGTCCTTGGAAGGCATAGCTACTCTTAAAACCTGAACAGATTACTAGGAAGGCGGGGTATCAGGCAGATCTTGCAGCTCTTAGTATTCCTCGTTTTCATATTCAGTTGCAGCAGCAGCTGTATTTTTCCACTGTGACAACCAGCAACTGAGATAAGCCAACCCTGCCACATGCTGAGGATCTGATCATAAAATCCAAATTATATGAACGTTTGACTCCTACAATCTGAGGACAGAGAGAACTAAGCCTGTCTGTGTAACATTAAGGTCAAACCTGCTGGACCTTATACTATTTGGTGGTTCAAAGTTGCTATCAAGGCTCATGATAAACAGGATGATAATCATCCCCAATTAAACACAGGACAAGGACTGTTTTGTCATGTGTTACAGTTCCAGCTAAACAATGCTGGAGGTCCACCACTAAAGTGCAAATATTCTGTCTTTTCTGTCATCAAGAGGAAGTGAACCACACCACACCCTGTGCTTCCCAGCTCAGATCCAACAGACCTAAATCCATCCTGCAGTGTATTAAGATGGTACTAACACTACTTTAGGACTCAGTTTACTGCATCTAAGTCCTTTATTGACCAAATGTTTATACTATCTGCTCTGGGAGACTCATTCTTACTATGTTTCTCAGAAGATAAAATCTCTGTACTAGGCCTTTTGCTCTGCACCAGTATGCAGTCTAAGCAAGAAACCAAAAATCTAGAAGTTTTCCACTGTGTCATTTTGCTGGATTCTGGAGATGGTCAGACATCTGGGCTGCAAATTTGCATGTTATTTAAAGCTTCCTGGGTTGATGAAAACCCAAAATCCTTGGATGAATTGTAAGAGCTGACAGCAGTGATTAACTAAATTAAGGCATCAGCTTTGCTTACATTATTCCAATATTACTATTCAGCACTGCAGCCCCCACCTCACCCCAAGGGAATTCCCCCACAATTGGTCTCTCTTTCAAGCTGGTTGCTATTTAAGCACAAAGTGAGGTTTGGAATAGCTTGCCCCTTTAACAAAAGGTTTCATCATTTTGCTCTCTTTGCAAATACTCCTCACTCAGATGGATGCTGGCCCAACAAACTGATTATGGCTTCACAGAATAATGAATTATACAAGATCTCATTAGATGAACAACACATCACTGATTAAGGATTTTCCAAGTACAGCCCTATGTATTAGATTTCTACAGATCTTAAAAAAAGAGAGGAAAACAAACATAATAACCAAACTCATATGGTTTCATATGTGACACTTTTGAGTTACTGAAAATTAAGTTAACCTGATTCAGTTACAGACTTTCTAGAAATTAATTTTCCACCTGGGTCACTTAGAGCAGTGTTGAGGCTGATGAACTGTATCAGTAATACAAACCCAAGCAGAACCTTTCTTCATTGAGATACACAACACACCTGGCAAGCTTTCTAATATGTAGCTTATAAATGATTCCAGCAGTTCTGCCTGGGTAATGAACATGAGGAGTTAAAATGTAATAAAACAAGAAGGGCATTTTGAACAGAGAGAATAGCTTTCTTCAGTACTAAAACATAAGATAAAATAAATCTTTTCAGTCTACCTGAGTAGTTTTGTCTTGTATTAGTTTATGCCGATGCTCTTCTTTATACAGCTTTTCTTCTAAGTGTTTGATCTTGTCCTGAATTTGAAGGCAAGAATAATGAGTCCCACTTCAATTTGTCATGCTGAATCAGAACTCTGGAGGAGCTCACAATTGTAATATGAGAATAAAACTGGACAGTATGAATTTTTAAAGTCCAGAGTGAAAAAAGACTCAGGCACACGAAGCCAAAGGTGGCATTCAGTCAGATACGCTTCAACAGAGGTAACTTTTACAAAACTTTGCACTATTAATAGTATGCCATAAAATGATACCAAATGACTTTCAGAGTGTCATTCTGTGCATACTTACTTGAGCAATTCTCTGAGCAGCAGTAACTTTAAGACACTCTTTTTCTAGCATTTCAAGCTTTTCAAGTTTTGCATGCAGTTCCAACCGGTTCTGATCTTCCTCTTTCTGAAGCTGAGCCTGGAGAAAATAAGCAAGAATGGAATTGGCAACTGACTGAAATCGTTTCAGACAGAAAAATCCCCACCAAACCACCCCACACCAGAATAAAGGTGTTTAATTAGTTTAAATTCCATATTTTTTAAATTGCAAAGTGATGAAAAATACCAGGCAAACAAAGACGACTGAAGCTTCCAGCAGCTTTTTTGTCTACCAAGTGTGCAAGTATTAGCATGGCTTTGCTCATTAGGAGTTCCACCCAGGGAGCTTTTAATACAATTCATTGAACAGTTGTCATCAGCCATACACTAAATTGCTTCTGTTTGCTAACAGCCTGAGGAGACCTCAGGAAAAACAATGACTACAAAAAACTTCAGATCCTGCACATTTCTATACCTTTGAACTAAGTCACTACTTTGTTATTATGCTGAAGGACTTCACCTGTTGTTCTAAAATAATTTTCTTTTCCAGTTCTGCACTGGAAACCATCTTTCTCATATAATCCAACTGTTTCTCCAGCAGGGAGCAGCGGGATTGTGCTGCATTTAACTGCATATATGAATCTACAGAAAGAAACAAGACATTCAGTACAGCAAAGAGAGCAACACATTTAGCCACTGTCATATCATTGAAGAATTCTCTGGCTTCAAAACATGCAAGAACAGTTTTGTTAGTCTGTACAAGTAATGACATTAAAAGGTATGTTATATATAAGACATAAAAATCAAAATGTTTTTCCAAAGTTAGTCTCTAATTCCAAAGGCATGAGCACTGCAGTTACTTTGATTTGTATCAGCAGATACCTAACCAGAATCTGATAAAGGAGAATCTTCTCTTCTCCTATCTTTTCTCAAGCTAGCCGTGTAAGCAGCTACTTGCTTATTGTAGGAGTTAAGCATACCACTTAGTCTTTAAAATTGCTTTATGGCTTATGCAATACTTGGTTGATATATGTAAAAAATATCTCAATTTGATCCGCAATTATCAAGCTCCTGTGCATCCTCAGTTCTGAAGCAAAAATGAAAGGAAGCTGCACTAATTAGCAGTTTTTCAAGACAAAACATTCCCCGGATTATACAGTCTTAGTGTTGCTGTGGCTACACCTTATCACTCCAAAGAAATACCTTTCCTCTGTTGCATCAGCTCTTGATGTGCTGCATCCTTCTCGTAGGATTTGTGCTCCAAGATCTTCTTGTACTGAGCAGCTGCTCTGGAGAGGCTGCACAGTTTATCTTCAGCCTGTGACTTCTCCAGCTCTAGGTGGCGGATCTTTTCCTGCAGAGCTTTCAGGGCTGCCACTACAGCTAGCAAACAACACAACAGCTACGCCTTAAGTAACAGCTCCTATTTGATGATGATTATCATTTTTAGAAAATACTTCACATTGCAATATACTACCTGGATTTTCTTCCTAGTATCACTCCCAAAATGAATAATATTCCCCAGCTGTACACTAACATATGCAGAACATATATGGGAGAAAATGGATGTATTTCCTGCATACCTGAGGTATGAAGCTCCGGCCCTATAAGCAAAACTATTTTCACTCCAAATGGCAGAAGCACAAAAAAAATAATGGCAAATAGAATATAATAAACCCTTGGGCTTTCTCTTTAAATAGAAGCAGAGATCACAGGCACCCAAGTGAGGTCATAAGTTTTTAGTGTAAGGCAACTGGCCTGGACAGATTAAAAAGAGAAAACATGCTCACAACAGGGGGAGAAAGTAGATAAAAAGGACAATTTAGCAAAGGATACATTGTTAAATACTTTATTGTTTCAAATGGTAATGTTTCAACATCTAGTATCTTGTTATCTTGTATTTGATGATTATTTAAACCATGGAAACCAGTCCGGAAGATTTTGTTTTCAGCCTCAAATCAATATGTGCCAAATTATACCAAAAATAAAAGCTGTAATTTCAGCTACAAGAAAAAGTCTGCTAGCTCTCATAAAGCATACACACCTATGGAAGCTTAAGTTATGTCCTGCAACAAGTCAGGCTTATTTTCTCACATTTTATAATTGACAGTTTCTTTATTCCAAACTCTCTCATCAAAATAATACCATCAAATATTGCTACCTCTGTAACAACTTTCACCATATTATCACAGATCCATTAAAAACAAACAAACAAAAAACCCCCAAACCAAACCATAAAACAGCAAAAAGCCAAACAAACATCAAACAAAAACTCAAAACAAACCAAAAAGGAAATACCAGAAAGCAGAAGGATGAAGTGGGACCACCTTTTCCATCTTTCTATTGTCATGACAAACACTTCCTTAACCACTTAGCTACATAGCACTAAACTGATCACTGCAATCCAAAAAAGCCCAAACTCTGTATGAAATGACTACAGAAATCACAGATTTTTCAGGTGAAGAACAATGATCACATGCACACTCATAGGCTATGTCTGTGCAAGGTAGCAAAGTTGTCTATGATAGTAATGTTAGTGTTCAGAAACACACATAATCATGGGATATGATTATATGCAGGTGCTTTTATAAAGAGCTCTGGGAGTCGGGGTACAAACCCAAATCTGAATCCAACATAGGTTTTGAGCTGAACATATTTTATATTCTATTGTTATAAAACTTACAATCATTAATTATTAAACTTATATTGTTCTATTGTATACATTAACATGAGTTTCTCGTGGTCTTTCTTAGGTCCCTGACCACAGTTTCTCATGATTATTCTTATGACTAAACAGTAATTATATTTAATTACTAAACAATCATCACATCTAACAATTATATCATTTATCATGTACTAGCTACACAGTGCAGTTCTAGCAAGTACTAGTTCTTCACGTGCTTAAGGTATTTATTTTTCCAGGGCCTATAAGCTTAATTTTCCTTTTAACCCTAAATCCCCATGATTTTAAAACCCTTTTACTATCATTTTGTCCAAGTATGCGCTTAAGATTCCCCAGGCACTCCAGATATGTTAAGCCACTGAGCAGTTGCCTTGTGAGCTCCAGAGAGTAGTCACTAAGGCACATGACAACCATATTTCATAGGGACTAACTTTCATGCTGCTAACTTTCCTGGGAGTCTGAACTGTTCAAAAGTTCTCCCAAGGAAACATACCATGCAAAAAAACCCAAACAAAACAAAAAGAAAAAACAAAATAAAAAACCACCAAAAAAAAAAAACCCCTTAGACGTGATTTTAAGCTGTAAGCAGTCAAACAGCACTATGCAAAGCCATTTTCAGGTCACTGTACCATACTAATGATCTTTTTTTTACTTCATTTGAAGTCATGAACTACTTCTACTGAGTTTGAAGCATTCTCCCTTGCTTTCAGAGGAAGTCTGACAATTTTAAGTTAAACAAATTTCAAAGCCAAAGTTTACAAGGATGTTAGAAGATTTGCAGAGGTTTCCATTCTAGACGTATGACTTCAGGGAGACTACTCCCTCAGGACACATATACATCCTGTCTTAATGTCAGACTGATAACTGCAGCAAGTCATTGAACTCAGTCAAATAGGATGGGGAGTTTGCTCAAGAGATTTCACATGGAACAATTAAAAAGACTGTTTTAAGGACATATTTTGGCTATACCTTGGTTATTTGGGAGAGAAGGCCTGTCACCAGCAGCAGCTGCCAACTTTGATTCTACACAAACAAAGGCTGCAGGAAACCTCCAATCTGGTGGCTGAAGAAAACTTCCTATGAAACTGTTCTTTGATTCAGAATCCATAGCCTGTAGAAAGAGAGACATTTAATGACATTATTTCTTTAAAAGGCTTTTTTTCAGAAGTATGTCACTGGGTTGTTCCTGGCTCTGTTTATATCAAACCGTCATGTACACCAAAATAATAATAATAGTAATAACAACAACAACATCAACAATAATAATACCCACACCCCACCAGAAGAACCCTGCCTTTTAATGCAGTTCCAAAACATTATCTTTCGTAACACTAAAAAACACAGCTTACTTTGACCAACCAAAATTTTCCAAGATTTTTCTAGGTGCTTTCTAATAACTTATGCTAATTTTTGTCCTTTAAAAACCCAAGTATCAAGAGCATTTTCTACTAACTGTTTTACAGACTTCAATGTCTTAACTCTAAGTGCTCCCTGCAGAGCAAATGTTCCAGGTTTTACAGCCTGTTTCCATTTGCAGTCTCCTTAGTGATCCTCTTCCCATCTTTTTGGATGTAAAACCAAATTACATATGGTAAATAACGAACCCTTATTACATAATAAAGACACAGTTCTCCACATTTAGTGTTGAAATAACAGGAGGATATTTAATATGCAATATCCTCAGTATTATCTCCATTATCAGGCGTATGTATTAAGTCCTGTTTCTTCACTCCCTTTGTGTTCCACCCTTTCACATTCTTTGTTTTATGAGAAGCACATTTGAGACCGTTCACACCCTGTCAAGTAGAAATATTTCTTGATACTCAAGACATGGACACTGAAATGTGCAGAAAGTGCTTTAGGCTATTAGAACCTCTAGGAAGTCAAAGCAAGTTTGAAATCATCCTGCAGTAACCTATCAAAGTAGAATCAAGCATTTCTTTTGGTACAGTGTAAGAAGCAAAGAGTCTATACAGCTTCAGCTAATAGAAAAATAGCTTATTTGAAGGTTCAGTGATATAAGAATTATGATTGTTGTATCACTTGTGTTTAAAATACAAGGCATGCAACTGGAACAGTCTTCCTACCTGAGTAAGGCTATTTACAGATGCTAGTCCCCAAGAAAATCACCCAAAGGAGGTATTTAGTAACACAAGGAAGAAAGAGACCAAGACTAGAGGCTGCTGATGAAGCACACACCAGGAGAAGCCATTCATACTAGGTGGCAAACAAGGGAAAAAGTTTCCAGTAACAAAAAAAGTTTCTAGGAGCACTTGCAGCTCTTACAGCCTGTTCCAAAGGCTGTATAAAAAACAAACAAACAAAAAATCTTCCAGACACACTGCCTCTTCAAGGTATGCACTATACCGAAGGCAAGCAGAAATCCTTCTTTCTTCCTCCAAACTGTCATCACAGACATGTCAACATGAGCATCTCTTCACGAGGGCTTGCTTGACTTGGGGCCTCCCAGCCATCACCACTTTTGTGTGCTAACACCCCCGAGGTCACACCATTCAGAGCAGCCCCACTTGGTCCCAAAGAGGGAGTCTATCTAGACTACCCTCGTGCCACAGGTCTTTTCCAAAGATTTCTCCATGGGGCCCTGCTGCCATCTTAGTCAAGGCCAGGCCACAAGCCCTCAGTGCTGGGTAGGCAGCAGAGAGTCAGGTACCCCACCATCATTTGGAAGAGGTGGATCACTGTCTGGTGACCCCACAACATCCATGTCCACAAAAGCTGTTCATGGGCCTCCCTACCTCTGTCCTTAAGGACTGGGAAAGACCAGCCAGCTGACCATAACAGCTGGCCAGGTTTATCAACCATGTCCAACAGCACAATGGGCAATGGCAGGGAAAGGCACAAAGCAGCAGAACGAGCAGCAGAAACTTCAAAACATGGATGAGAAAGTCCTGTGGCCACAGAGGTGGTCAGGGCCAAGACATGAAAGGAGATAGTCCTGGCATGGCACAGTGCATCAGCAAGGAATTCCAGAAAATAAGATAAGCAATACTTAAAAATTTTCCTGGTGCTATTCAACCCCTTCACATTGGTGATGAAAAAGACTAGCAAAAAAAAAGTCCATAAAAGTGAGCATACGCACAAGCAAGAATTTTCCTACCATCACTGTGAATAAAAGGCAACTTTGGAAACAGCAGAGGAAGAAGGTGGTTTTTGCTTACACCATCCAACCTTCTGGCAGTCAGCATAAGTGGAAACTCACTTTTCCAACATCCTCCAGTGGAACATGGCTCCCCTGCATGCCTGAACAGCTACACATCAATTGCTTTCCTTATTACTTTCACATAAACAAGTTTCTGCTGTTTCCAAGGAGATGGGTTTGTGGACAGTTGTAAGGAGGGCAGTGATCTGAATCAAATAATGAAAAAAGGAGGGAATGAAGAAGCAGAACATTTGAGAGTTTGTGGACAAGCTCAGTAATACAAAGGTGGGGGGGGCATGGGGGACATCTATTTGGCAGAAAGGGAAATAAAACCCCCTTAGTTCTGCAAGTGAAACCAAAGGGAAGTGAAAGAGAAGAGGCCAGCTCACCTGCCTGGTGGTGGTGATTCAGCCAATCCAGTGTGGGCTTCAGCACAAAACCCCACAACTTTAATGTGAAAATAAACACCCTTCAGCTGGTGGGGGGAGCTCCCCAAGCTGTTCCTAAGAGCACAGGCTCAGCAAAGGGTGTGAAAGAAAACACCAGAGAACTGAGACACCTGTGTTTGCAGAAACTGCTGCAGACACAGTTAGGGACGCCCTGCTTTACCACAGCTTCCTCAGATACAGAGGCTGTGTGGAGCCGCTGAGGGCATGGTTGCTATAGTGCTTTGAGGCTGTGTCAGCATAATTACCATGGTAGAGGTGCTCTAGTGTAGACAAGTCCTAATATCTCAGCAGGTAAATAGAGTTTATAGCAACCAAACTGCACAGGAGAAATGTCTACACCACTGCAGACCTCAGGCAAAGACAGGAACACCAGGAAAAGGACCAAGTCACTCTACACCAGCAAGACATCACTAAACATCATGGCCACTTCCAGCCCACTGCAACAAGAAACATATCAGGAAATAATTAAGTAGTTTGACGTATGCTTGACCGTCAACTGTCCTACCACAACTTCCCCCCCCCAAGTATTTAAGCTTCTATAAAACCATCTCAACCAGGTTTGCTTTTTAAAAAGTCTTATACAGCAAGCTTAAACCACTCTCTTATTCCATGGTGCTACTGCCATGGACACCTCGTACACAGCCCTAGAGAGGTGCTTTAAAGCAGATATTGCTTCCCAAACAGCAATGTTTGTACTAACCTAACTCCACAAGGCTTAGGGGGATTTAGCACAACAACACTCATTAAAGCAGCCAGAATATCGTTGTTTAGACAAGCCCTTGGTTGAGGAAAGCAGTGCACTCCTTTGAGTTTGGGCAAGAGCCAAGAGAGAGGTATGCATATTAAACAGAGGCTGATCAAATACCCCAGTTACATGCAGAGGGGAGGGGAAGAAGGAAGAAATGCCTCACTCCCACCTCAGCAGCCTACACTGCTGTGGTGAGCAGAGTGAAGCACTTGTGCTGTGCAGGTCGTATCTGGAGTCAACAATGGCCCTTTGGGTTTTTTAGTGGAAAATGGCACAGCCTGTGTTGGCGGATGCAGTAGCAATGCTCAGACACCCAGTGTTATTTTACCCTGAAAAATACAGAGTAACTGGTTCCAGCACTGGCTGCATCAAGCAAGGGTAACTGTGTTGTGCCCATGGGTCCCTTCATGAATATTCTGTGATTAAACATCAGCATGGGAAAGCCAGCTATGTTTTTCTCCAGGTCTGAGCTAGGAAGCTCATGGAGTTCTGTGCCACACATTTGAAACCCCGTGCATGGTGCATGATGCCAGGCACAGCACATTAGCTCTGTGACAGAACTGCATTAATGCAAATATTCTGTCCACCTCTTGCCTTGCTGCAGCTGGAGCGCTCAGCCCTGGGGATGTGAGCATGAGAAGGGCTGGTCCCTTCCATGGGACCACTTCTGCCTCTTGGCTCAGCATCACATGCAGGCTGAGAGTGAGCTTGCACAAAGTATGCTGGGGAGCAATCCCATCAAGTCCATCCCTGTATATGTGACATTCATGCCTCAGAAAACAGCAAGCAAACTGGAGTTTGGTACCTTAAGATAAACAGAAAATTTCCCATTTCATCAGAGTCATCTAAGTACTAATACCATTTACCTTTATACCATTTCTATTTACTTTTGCTGAATATGGCCTGCAGTAAATTCCAGAGTACTGGATTGGGCTGCTGTAAAAATCAATTGACATTTTAGTTACTGCTGTCTGGCCCAAGCAAGTATACTAACAGTGAAGAATTACTGAACACAACTGAAATCCCAAATGTTACAGAAAGACCACTTATGACTTCTTCATCATCCTCCACCCTTCCCCTGTGTTTCTCCCCCTTCAATGCAAGCCACTGCATTACAAAGTTTCAAAAAATTGTCTCCTCAAGTGAAAAGTCCAGAAACATTTTGCCGCACATACAATTACGTCTCATGCTGTAAAGCAGCATATGGAAAAGCTTTTCCCACATGTAAATAATTACAGACTCAGGGAATAATCCTGGCTTAACAGTCTCCCAAAAGACACACTAAATGAATAATATGATAATGTAAGGGATACTTCCACTAAAATGATGCTTGCTATCTCACAGGGACACTGGTTCATTCAAATTGCTGTGATGGCAACCTTTTAGAACCAAAGAAAGAGATGATGTTAGAACACCTTTAAAGAGGAAAAATAAAAAGTAGATCAAAGCATTTTTCAGAAAGAAATACAAAGATACCTATCTTCTGGCCTGACCTACCGGCATGCACAATTTATTGTGGTTTTTTTTTGATAACTGAAAACAAAGTCTTAGAGGAACCAAAGATTGATTCAGTTTATCTGACATAAGAGAAGGTCTAAAGAACTGCCCCAACACAGGCAATACCAAGAAGCTCCCAAAATTCTGGCTGCTGCCTTGTCTACTTGAGCCAAGTCTTGCTGGCTAATGGTTATGTGAAAAGCCATTTTTATGACACAATCTAAACTAGTGTATTTTTTTCCCCTTTCACTTTCCTT